TTTATATATATATATATATATATATATATATATATATATATATATATATATATATATATACTGTATGTATGTATATATATATACATACATACATACATATATACAATGTGCTTCTTGATAAATTTGAAGATACTCAAATACATTCTTGTTTCTATATGCATATGTGAAGATGTGTACTAGTGTTGACATTGGAAGCTAAGGGCTTGATGTCTTCTCTTATAATTCTCCACTTTGCTTTTTGAGACACTGAACCTGGAATTCAAAGGGATATGATAGGTTTCTCTTCTTAAAGAAGAAGGCAATATTTCTAATTCTCACTTGACATTCTCTGGCTAAGTCTAGGGCACTAAGAACAACCTTGGCTCTCCTTCCTATTGTTCTTACTATTTTTCTACTGTTTGAAATTCTGTTAACAATTTCTAGTAGTGCAACCTAGTTAATAGTACATGTTTAGGTGCATTGTCTAGCAAATTTAGACTACTAGTTCAATTTTGGGAAAGGTTCACAAAGAATGGTTTGGGTTTTATCAAGCATGTTATATCAGTTTTTCTTATGTTAAAATTACAAAGCAGAGAACTATGGGTCAAGCAGATATTGGGTCATCATTGCTTGATACAAGTGTTTTCTTTACGGAAATATGATCTGAAATTTGAGCTACTATGTTTCTAGTTAACGTAATAAAAACCTTGCATATGTTTGGGTTTATAGTCAAATATATATTTTATTCACATTGTATTAAAAGCATATTAGATATGGGTAAATACAATATGATTTTCCATTTTTTAATGACAATAAATTAAAACTGAAAAAAACTTTTATATTTAGAAATGTCAAAAATGTTGACATTCTTATTCTACTACTAGAGATAGTTTTGATTAATTCTAATATGAAGATATTAATTGTTTTAATTTAAAGCTAAATTCTGTGTATGTATAGATGCTGCTACTTATCCATTAATTAATTATTTTTATTTATTTATTTATTTATTTATTTATTTAATATTTTATGACAAGAGATGAATGTGCTGGAGTAAGTTCAGTTTTTTCATAGATTACTTATAAATAAAATCTAAAGCAGATTCAGTGAATTTTACATTTTATTGTTTTTTTTTTAATTTTGAGATACTATAATATTTCAAACAAACAGTAAGCACCAGAATTCAGGGAGAATTCGTATAATGTGTGTAGTGTTCATTGAGGGTTAAACATGGCCCCTTCTATAAAATTCCTGTATTTTCTACACATTATCAATGTGGAAATCAAGGTAGTTTGTGGTTAAGTGCATAACTATTTTCTGCAGAGGGATAATAGTAAATTAATGAGAATCTGAACTCAGACTATGGCCACAGAGTTCTAGTGATAGATGAATTAAATAAAAGAAGCCAGCATTTATGATGGGAAATGTTGCAATGGTTAAAACTAGTGCTTACAAACATTTATGACAAATATAGGAATGTTTTTGAGATGAAATAAAGGAAGCCTGTGGCATAAATAAAACACATACCATGATCTTCACTAATTAGTTGTAAGTAATAGTCTTAAATGATAAAGTGTGATTAACTTAGGTTTAACTTTCAAGATTTGTACATCAATTTAGAAATTTATTATCTACCACTTTTAGTGACAAAAATATTTAAGTGGTTGTATTATTTATTCAGTCAACAATGGGAGATTGTTGAAAGCAAAGAAATATATATTGATTAATGATGGTGAGACATATGGTGTTCATAGTCAAAACCATCAATTCAAGAATACCAAGGTGGCCCAGAGGGTGAAGATGCTTGCAACCAAGCCTGACAACCTGAGTTCAATCCCAGAGTCCACACAGTAGAATGAATGAAAGTATTCCTGAAAGTTGTCTTCTGACCACACATGTGCCCTGGTGTGCTGGCAAACACACACACACACACACACACAATCACACATACACACACACGCATACAGGTATACACACACAAACATACACACACGAACACAGAAACACATCCCCACATTAATAAATAAATTTCATTTAAATTTGGTAAAAAATAAAACCTGAAATCATGTAAGAGCACAATTTTACAGTAAATACAAAAATTAACTCAAAGTGTAAGAAGCTCTTCAATCAAAGAGATAAAATATAGAAAGATAATGCTTAGAAGAAATACTTAGAAGAAATTATTGGTACACATTTTCACTTCCTTGAATTCATCAATTATTTCTCATGTATGACAGTAAAAGTAGAAATAATAAAAGAATGAATAGATAAATTGACATCAAACAAAATGAAGGAGCTTTCTGTTTCATGTAATATAATGAGGACTGTGAGAAGAAATCAAGCAGAATGGGAGGATAAATTTGCAAATTATATTTTATAAGGGATATATATTCAGAAGTCAGAAAAAAGATGCAACTGAATGACAACCAGAATAAAAATATGCAAAAAGTTTAGATGTGCAGTTATTATTCAAAAAAGACATGGAAATGGATGGTAACGATTTGAAAGAATGTTTAGCATGAATAGTCATTAAGTATGAGCAAGTCAGCACTATGGTATGGATTCATTTCCCATACAGTAGGATGTCTGTTATAAGACAAGCACACACTAACAGGTGTGTGAGACTACATAATCCTGGAGCTTTCAGAACTTATGGTAAGAATGAAAAATCTGCAACCCACTTTGAAAAACAATTTGGCAGTTCTGCAAGAAATGAACCATGGGACAGCCAGATGACTCAGCAGATAAGTTCACTGGTCACCCACGAAGGTTGGTGACCTGAGTTTTATTCCTGGTTATACACAGTGATGTTAGCTCCAAACAGGAAAACACCAAACAGCTCCCAAAATGAGTTGCTTAGTGATGTAGTCCAAAATGAAGTCTAGGTTCAACTCAAGGTAGAATCTAAAAGAACTTCTGGTGGACTGACCAATGTTGATAGGCGGTACTTCCCAAAAACCTGTGCGACAAGTGCCAGAAATGTCCAGTATACCTGGCATACAACTTGTTGAACATTGAAGCCCAAAGCTAACTTCCAGGCCCCTCAGTATCTCTTATGTACATGTACTTGTTATGTATTTCAAAGCCCACAGTAGCATCTTGACTCTTGGTACATTTTATCTCCTCTACTATCCTAGCTCTCAGGCTATTCCAGATTAGAAAACTAGCAAGTGCCCTTTCCAGCCCACCCTTGCTTCTCTGCTTCCCTTGATAGTCTCTCTGTTATGCTTTCCCATTTTTTTTCTGCCACTCTCCTACCCCCGCAGCAGAGATAGCCCTAGCCCTGGCCAGTCCTATCTGCTGCCTTTTCTCTCTGCACTAGACTCTTCCCATTGCTGCTTTTTGTTCTCTCATATCCACAATCAACAAAATTACACTCCCCAAGAGGCAACAATTTCCAGGGTTTCTTCACTGTGTCCTCAAAGCTGGAAGAGAAATCAATTTCTGAAAGTGGTTCTTTGCCAAAGGATCACATGGTACATATGTAACCCAACAGCAGCTTCACACACCCAAGTGAATATATGTGATAAAATGATTAAAAATCAAAATAAAGCATGTATCATTTGAAAAAAATGCACATGAGTTTCAGTGGTAGTCTTATTCATAGACATCAGAAAATGGAGACAGTCCAGTGTCCATGGATAGACAAATAGGTAAGCAAAGTGGAAACCATCCAGAAACTGGTTTGGCAATAGAAAGAAAAAAAAATGCCTGTAACATGGATGAAGTGACATTATTTAATGGGAGAAAGACAATACAACAAAGCAACTTGTGTTGTGTTACATTATATGAGAGTTCCAGGCTTGGCAAATTCAGAGACAGAAGGAAAGGAGTGGTCTGAAAGTGGGTGGGGTAGAAGTTGAAGTTGTCAAGAGTGTAAAAGCAACATGAACTAAACCACATACTTTTTTCTTTTAAAACTCTGAAATTTATTTCTGTCAAATGTTTCTTTACAGTTATGTAAAGCTGACTAACAGAGGATGTAGACAGCCACAGGTCAGAATGAATGTCAGCCAGGGCAGACAGATTTACAAGGCCATAATTTTTACAGTTGCATGCCCCACCCTCCCAATCTGTATCCCCATCCCATTCCGTTCCTGTCAATTTAATCATGCAGTAACCACACAAAACATACTTCTCACCCAGGTTAAGAGACTTAAAGCATTTAACCAGCCACTCTTACACTAAGAAATTTGTCACTGTTAACCTCCTCTGGGCCTTTGTGATGGAAATGTGTTGCTAAAATCCTTTTTCTTTTTACAACTAAGATACTTTTGTACCTGGATCCATTCAGCTGAGAGGGACCCATTCTAGAACATAAAGCCCATCTCAGTTCCAGAGCCAGAAAAAATAGCCCATTGGGTACAGAGGCCACTCTCCAATCACAGGACAGAAGTTTAATCTGAGAACACATTTAGCTCTAAAGATGAAAATTATGAGAGTCTCAGATAAATGTATGCAACTGGACATCATTAGGTTAAGGACAACTGCTCCATGCTTCCTCTCATATGCATAATCTAAATTCCCTACACCCACTCCCACCCCTACCTCTGTTCCACATACATATAAAAGTCATGGGTTTTTGTTACCCCTAGATATGCTGCCTTTCTGCTTTCATGACTTATCTCTGTTGATATCAACTACGGCAGTATACAGGGCAATTTTACTTATATCTAACTAAAAGACTAACAAATTTTTAAGCATAAAAAAGCTACATATCTGGAAGAATATTTCTATCATAATTTTATTCAGAATGAAATCAGAATCACAATTGAGAATGCACTGTTAATGTCATATCTGTTTTCTGGCATCTGCATGTGCTTCTTGTAATGATGGGACCACACAAGGATGCATGCCAACTTTTCAGAGACTGATAGAGATCTCCCCATGTGAAAACTGACAGCATTTTTGTTTTAAAATTAGTTTAACAGGTATTGTCTTATTACTTAAAAATGTTACACATGCTGTCTTTGCTAGTTTTTCATTACCTTAACACAAGTCAGGGTAAACCAGGAAGTGGAAACTTTGATATAGATCTATGAAATAGAAAAATTATAAGTTTTTCATTTATTGAAGATCTATTCGGATGGGGCTTGTTTTATTTATTTAAAGTTCTGATTCATGGTTTAACATTGATTTGTTCCTAAAGATTGTTCTAGTGTTTTGTGTTTCAAAGGAGTTTTTTATTTTTCCTGGCAGTAACAAGCAAATAATCCCAGTTGAAGAGAAGGTGAGAATGAGTGAAGGAAGAAGTTAGATTATAGGATCCTTCAAGAGAAATGCCAGGTACTTCCTTTTATCTTTATCTTTGAGATTAAGTTACACTAAATAAACTACTGCTTGGTAGAAGAGCTTGAATAATGTGTTTTAAGGCTGAAGAGATAGCTCTGTAGTTGAACTGCTTAAAGTATGATCTGCAAGACCTATGTTTAAAATAAAAATAACTAGTATAATGTTGGCTACAATCTCAATGCTATGGATACAAAGCCTGGTAGGTCTTTGTAGCCTGGTTTGCCAGACAACCTAGTCCTTTGAAAAGTCTTGAACAATGAGAGACCTTGACTCAAAATACAGGGTAGATGTTACCTGAGGAATATATGCCCGTTTTGTCCTACAGACTGTACTTACATGCACATCCCTCATACACAGGAGAATGTATGCACATGGACACACACAACAAGTGTGTATTAATGAATTGGGAAGAACCATGTGGAATTGTTGAGTCTTGAGGCAGTTAAAATATTTCATTTTAATATTAAACACTGCTATTGAATATTGTTTACATTGGGTATTCAGCAATCTTCCTTTTTATAATTAAAACAAATGTTAAAAAACTCTAAAGGCTTTTAATAATAAATATTTTTTAACTCGTTGACATGTATTCATTTAAAACAAAGATGACTTAATTGTTTCTATATCATGTTTTATACTGAAAACTATTATCTTTTGATACACCTTTAATTGACGTACTGGAACTAGAAATTGTAGTGTGCCACTAAACACAAATAGATGATCCACTTCTGGCCTTCAGTTGATCCTTCATCCTGGCTGATATACCCATTTTTTAACTATTTCTAACCACAACTGCACTATCAGTGGGCAGACAAACTGAATGAATGGATATGATTATGTTGATGAAATAATCAAGTCTAAAGACAGAGAAACTTTCTAAGAGCACAAAGTTTGGGCACATATTGAGTGTATGAAGAACATTGGTTTGGCAATGCCATGTGGGTATTACATTACCACATGTAGGAGAAATGGTATAGATTGCCTGAAAACATAGGTACCATCAAACATAGGTCTAAACACGGCACATGGGTAGTAGAGCATTGCTTGTGGTAGCAGTGGTATGGATTATGTAAAGGCATAGAATCATTGATCACTGTATTTAGATGTTTCAAGATCATACACAGTAGTGGCATGTATGTTTATCTTACCTTTCTGGCAGAAAGGTCCTTCATATGGTGAGTTGGTACAGTCACAGGAGTAGCCAATATGCTTCTCCACACACTTGCCCCCATTTTGGCAGTTCCTTCCATAGCTGTTGCAGTGACCTGGACAGCCAGGTCTGACTCCAAATGTGATCTTTGCCCTCTCTTCCAGGTCTACTTTCTGCCCATTCAAGTGTAATGAACGAATGCATCCAAGAAAGCCTTTTTGTCTTGATGATGTCCCTCCTACTGGTGAAAAATATGAAAGGTGTCATAGCTCTATTACATAGATATAACTGGTAGATCATAAAATCTCTAGCTGCCCTATCTTCCAGAAATAAGGCCCTCTCCTACTATAGACTCTCTCCCTTGTTAGAATGAGAGAGTGTGCTGTGGTTATAGCTCTTTCTGTTTCCTCTTTAGCTGTAAACAAGGGCTGCCTCTATCTTATTGCCATGACATTAGATAGCCTTGAGTTAAAGTTGGTTGCTAATGATGTCTAGAATGTAGCATAGGGCATTTTTTTTTATCCCTGTCTCCTTGAAATTCTATAAGAACAAGATTTTCCTTTTTGTTCTTTGAACCTAGAAGCTCCTAGTACTCATTTCTGTGCCTGTCAGAATTTTGTGATCTTGATGCTATTACTCTCCAAAGATAGCTAATTCAAAGGGCAATTTCATCTCAGCTTTGTCAGTTGACATGCAATATATTACATAAGAGTAACATTTTTGTGATAACACATAGCTGGGCTGCTACTGTGAGCTCTGCTAAACTTTTGGTTAAGTTTTCAGTGAGAAAAGGAATTAAAGAAACTGGAAGTCAGTACTAGGAATGTGATTCAGTTGTTAGAGCACATGCAAAGAGATCTGAGTTAAATTTTCTGCACCACTGAATAAACTATGTGTGCCAGTACACATCAATAATTTCAGCACTCAGGATGGGAAATCAGGATGATCAGAAATTGAAGGTTATCTTTGCTATATAATATGTTCAAGGCCAGCTTGAACTACATGAGGTCCTGTTTCAAAGAAAAATTTCCTTGAGAGAAGAGAGACTGAGAGAAGAAACAGATCCTGTTAAGATGCTTAAAAATTAAACTTTACACAAACATGGTCTCTACATATGAATAAAATATTGATTCCTATGTGGCCTATAAGCTAATTCATCTATTATTCCATGTGTTTATAGTAAAGCTTACTTCACAACATGCAGCAAAGTGTTCAGTTACTGTGGTTTTTTGGGCCTTCTCTTGAGTCATGACCTACTTCCAAGAAATAGTAGGTGCATTACCTGCATATTGATCCCAGGGTTTATCCATAAAATACTATTAGCAGATGAAATTTCTCACATTCCATTTATCCTTGAGCTAAAATCTGACTCTCAAATGAGACAATATCTAGAGAGGGGTTAGAAGAAGCTTTAATACTCTCTATCAAGCATTGAGCAGATTGAAACGTTTTTCTTTGTTGTGTTCACATAAGTATGTATGTTATAATTCAAGAAACAAAGCAAAACCTCATTAACCTGTATCTGTGCAGTGTTCGGAATTCTGGGTGAGACTTATTCTGGCTTTAGAAATCAAGCAATTAGTGACCAACCCTTCAGCTCAAGGTCATAATATAGATGAGTGGAGAATGCGTACAAATCCTTGGGTTCTGACAAAAGTACTAATAGACAAAGTAAAAAAGAGGAAGAGAGAAGAGAAAAGAGAGAGGGAGAAAAAGGAGCAAAAGAAAATCTAAAGGCATAAATCGTTTACTTTTTGTATGTATCGGGTGCCTTAACTGAGGCTTATTCCTGTTTAACACCTTATGCTGCAATTCCATTACATTTTGGTTTACAACAGCAGTTCTCATCCCATGGATCATGACCCTCTTTGGGGTGAACCAACTTTTTACAGCATCACACATCAGATATCTTGCATATCAGATATTTACATTACAATTTATAATGGCAGCAACATTACAATTATGAAGAAGCTGTGAATATAATTTTAAAGATGAGGGTCAGCACAAGATGTGGAACTATATTAAAGGGTAACAGCATTAGGAAGATTGCGGGATATCTAGAATGTAACTAGATGACACATGTGCTTATCAAGGTAGATAAAATAAGCATATCAAATTTGCTATCATAGATAAGAAATATATTAACAAGAAAAATAAAGCTGTAAATTGTGGCTGGGGAGACGGGTCAATCAGTAAAGTGCTTGCCTTGCTACTGAGCCCTGCATGACCACTATCAAAGGCTTCACATATTTCTCACCCCTGCAGCAGAGCCAGCAGGGCATGACACTCTACAAGTCCTGCTGATTGTCTGGTCATGGGGCTTGTTTACCAAATAATGTCCATAATATACTTTATGTTCCTTTTTTGGGAAATATTCTCCCTGCCAATGACTCCATGATAATTAGAAGTAGCATGAGTCTGGAAGGCATGGGGGTAGAAATGGGGAAAGGGGATCACATCTGAAATGTAAATAAGTAGGATATCCAGTAAAAAAGAATATAAATATAAAAAAATGTTCTGGAAAATAACTCTATAAACATGATTCAAAAATGTATGGTTTCTCAATTACACAATGTATAAGGATGCAGTATAAATTGTATGAGGGGCTACATGGATCTAAAAGAACAAGGGCAGCTGCACTAATGAGCCAGCTTATCAGAAAGATACAAAGGCAGGCAGATATTTGAGTTCAAGGTCAGCCTGGGACAGAGCAAATTTAGGTCTGGGTACTGTGATCTCACAGCAGGATTCTGCCCAGCTAGCTTATTTTCTGTGCAGAAAAAGACAGGTAGATTCTTGAGTTCAGTGGCCACCTAGGACAAAGCAAGTTTAAATTAGGCATACTCATGTAGGAAGCCGCTACCGCCATAGTGCCGGCGGCGAGACCAATCGCCATTACAAGATGGCACTGACATCCGCTGCCCATCCCGATAAACAAGCTGTTGCGCATGTGCAGAAGTGAGCGTGCGCCAAGTCACAGCCCATCCCGGGGCGTTTTGGCGGGTAACGAGTAAGCAGCCAATCAGAAATGAAAACGCCGCTCCAAGGGTATATAAACAGTGCCTTTTCGGGGCCTGGGGTCTTCCTCCTTTCATCACAATAAAAGGTTTGCTGCAGAAGGATCCTGGTGTTCACGCACATCTTGCTGGCGAGACATTACACGCGGGTCACAGCTGGTGCCGAAACCCGGGAAATTCACCAACGCCAGCGCCGAGGAGACCCTCCGCCTGCGGAGTGGATTCAGAACCGCAGGACAAAGGTAAGCTCTGAGAGGCATGTTTGGCCTTGATCTATTTCGTCTCCCTCCCCAGGCAGCACTTGTTATCTTCCTTCTGGTTTTGCAGGATGAGAAAAGCCGCTTGACTGTAGCGTTGGGCCAGGGAGTGCTAGATGAATTACAGGGCAGCATGTCAGAAACAGAGCAGGATAAGCGCTTAGGAGCTCAGAAAAAAAAAAGGGAGCTCAGAAAGGCATGCCTAAGAAAAAAGACCCTTCCAAGGACGCTCGATCCGAGGAAGTGAGAGATAAGGGAAAAGATGCCCTGGGAGAGAGACATAGAAAAGGAGAAAAGGCCTCGGAAAAGAAACTTCTTTATCCGGTAAAGAAACTGGAGGCCTCGGGGCTGGGTGGCTCTGAGTCGGAGGAGCTAACTTCCTCCGAGGCGGAGGACTTAGATGAAGAGACAGATGAGGGGGAAAGATACCATTCAGATGAATGGCTGCCGCTGCAAAATTGAATACTAGCACTAGTGATGGTTATTTGAAGGCTGTGTTTGCAGAGAGTGTGTTTTGGGGGATGCAGTCTAGGTGAATGAGGTATTGACCCTGTGCCGATTTTGCCTAGGAGGTGACAGCGAATCATAGGTCAGGAGAATTCTAAACAGGCATTGCCCGGAGTCTAAGAGCTGCTTCAGGCGGGAAGAGCAGAGTTAGAAGGAATTAGAAAACTAAGAAAGCAGGGTAGTGAGGTGTTACAATAGCTGCCTGCTACATCTCCAATGAATGAGACAAAAAGTTACATCTTGAATATGAGAGAGAGAGAAAGGGTTTTAGAAAAACAGTTGTCCTTTCTCTGAGCTGTGTCAGCAAAAAGGAATGAAAAGGCTATTTCAGAGCTCATCTAGAAAAAGAAAGAAATTCGGGAGACATCCTGAATTTCTCTTTATTTAGCTCTCAGATGTCCTTCTTTGTTGTCTGTCCTTGGTGCGCCAATGTCCACGTGTGTCGATTGTTTGTTTTTTGTTTCGTTGTCTAAGTGTATGTTCTATGTTGCATGTTCAAAAGACAAAAACGGTTACATATCCAACTCTTGGGCTAGTTTAACTTTGTTTTAAAGGCAGTCTTAATATACACAGCAGAGGCTGATAAGCTACCCTACACCTGTAGCTAAGAGTTGAGCTGAGCTGAAAAAGCCTTTCCAGGAATTGAGGTTGGCATAAGCTGCTTTTAAAAGAGACCAGTAGCTTTTTGGGTTTTATAAGGAAGCTAAGAGTTGTTTTGTCCTAGAAAAATCTCTGTGACAAGGTGCTTTTCTCTTGAAATTACAGCTAGAAAAGGCAACAAATTTTATTTGGTCTAAATATATAAGATGCATAGCCACTTCATTGTCGTTTCTGATTGGTTTTAAAAGTATAAAAATGTTCTACATGTCTTGGTTATAGATTATTGGCTTAAATTATTGGGTGTGATTAGAAATTCACAACTTTGGTAACAGAAAGTTGACGTAAAACTAACTCAGAGTTATAGTCATTCAGAAACCAGATGTATAAAAAATAAGATTTTAAAACAATATCTCTTCAGTGAGATAATAAAAGCTGCTTCATACACTCATATATAAGAATTGGCAGCAAAACTTTGTAACATAAAGGTAATCTACTTGGTGTTGATTTAAAAAAATAGATTGTTTACATTGCTTCTGGTTTTGCTTTTCAAAATTAATGGTCATACTCTAATGTTACAAAAGAAATTTAAAAATTTAGTTAAACTGCCAGTATTCCATTGGCTACAGTTGCCAGTTCTAATCTTGAGTTTGGGATTTTTTGACTCGCCCATGTTTATAGAAAAGGAGACAGCAGGTAGAGTTAAATTAAAAATATTTAAAACAAGTTGTGATACAGTGCTGGCCTGCTAGAAGGATAATCTTTGCACCAGGCCTCCGAAGAGATTAAGAACATTTACATTTAAATTAAGACAATGCAGACTGAGCTCAGCAGAAGCTTGGGTGAGACATTCCTTTTGT